GGGTTCGGTCAAGCCTTGCGTGGGAAACGAAAGAATTTAGGTAGGCAATCCTAGAAATTGGGGAAAGACTGGAGTAAACGCGGGGCGGCCACGCCGGTGGTCTAAGGCAATTTGCAACTTTTGGAATCAGGTCACGCTACTGACCCCAGCGTTGGTGGGTTTAGTGGCAGATTGGCCTTCAAGTAGCAAGAGGGAAAATGCGGGAGTTGCGGAGGCGCGGGGGTTCGCCCGCGGTATTGCTCGCTGAAACTCATTATGTGTTTTTCTCGATGAAGAAAAAAAGAGAGGAACAGAACGGTCTGGGCCGCAGACGCAGCTACATGTAAGCTATTGCAAAGCTCTTGGTGTTAAGCCCAAACTGTCGGCGACTGGGGCACGTGTGCCGATTCAACATGAAAGCTTGGAGATAGCCGCCGGTCTCGATATGTTGCATAGACTCGCCATCCGAGTGGTCGAGCGGTCCGACAAGCTCGCAGCAGCGGCAGCATCAGCGTCGTAATGCAGCATGCAGTGTCTCTCTTGGAGCTGGATACCAAAGGCAGAAAAAGCGTGGCAAGCGAGGGCCGCTGGGCAGAGATCATCGAATTGGCGCATAATGCCGTGGGGAAGATGGTAATTACCACGGCACTTTGCTCGCTGTTACCATTCCATGGGTGCGGAGGGAGGGACAAGGTTTAATGGCCGAGAGTATCGCCAGCTGTGCCCCGCAAACCACAGGACGATGGGTTTCCCCGATCTGGAGATGCTGGGACATGGTCTTCTTTTGGCTCTTTCAAGCGCAGGTCTCCAGTAGTTCTGTCACTTCTTGTCACTTGTGCCCTTGTCAGCCTGGCCTTACGTACTCCGTAAGATCGCGAACCCATTCGTTTAGGCGCTTGCCTTTCGGTCAAAGCTTTTCTCTCCTTTTGTGAGTTCGGATGAGTCTCCCATGAACCATGGCGGAGGTGAATGGGGGCCAGTAGACTTTCTGTGGAGGAATTGAGATGACTTTGCGGAGGTATTGTGGGGAAACAAAGTGGAATGACAGAGTCATTTGGGGTCATGAGCAACGTAAGATTTCTTCTAGAATGAAATTTGAACTTGGGAGAGCTTCTGAGAGGTCAATCTCATTGCCTATTCTCGCTGAATTCAAAAAGATCGTGCCATCTAGCTCGGAAAACGGCCGACTAGTGGGGCTTAAAGTCCCTACCTAGTTGCCGATAGACCGGACATCTTGACGAAAAGACATTTCATCCGACGGCGAATCGCAATCGGTGAATCAGCTTCGCAGTCGGCCCAGATGCACCTCCATCTGTCCGTTCCATCGAGGTCTCCAATCGTAGCATTTCTCCTGTTGAATGCTGCCTTCGTTGGTCGTTAAGAGACATATTTGAACAAATGCTTCTCTTCAGCCACAGTCTAGCTCAAGAGCGGGGCAAAACCTTCAGCCACCGGACGGCCCGGACTCTGTAGCCCAGGGAAACCCAGCTACGTGCTACGCCAGAGGCCGACTGAACGCCAAAGTACGGGTTATCTTCACCGTTTCCACGCGAACCTTAGACAGGCCGGAAAATGGATCACGGTATGTGATACTTCTGCACGCTATGAGCGATATGAGAGGCATATGCATAGTACACATCCCTCACAAATGATACCACCAGACTGCGCAAATTACCTGAATGTACGGAGGAAACCACACGACCCGAGAAACGTTCAGTACAGCCTGTGATGAGATGGTAGTACTACTTTCCAGACTCACGGGCAATCTGATTTAGTGACGCAGTGCACCTTACTAACCCAACAACATGGAAGCATGTTCTCAGGGTTGGATAAGTCCCGTTTCTAGAGGTACAGCAGCTTTTACCGGGAGATTCTTTGACATAAGGTTCAGTGGTAATTGCTCCAAATTTTCAAATGAATTGGATTCTCATAGATTTGCACCCCAAATGCAGATCTATCTCGATCGCTAAAGTAGGTAGTACTTCCAAGTTACCATAGCATTTCCTGAGATGACTCCGCATTAGCTTTGCGTCATAAGAAGCCTTGTAACTCCGTTAATTCTCAATATACTAAAGAGATCCAAAACCCGAGGTTGGAGAGAATCACCAGTGCAGCGGCTTTCGCCCCGAGAATCGGCTATCTTTGATGATGGTTGAACAGACATGTATCTTCGTCTTGAACCAAACCAAGAACTTGACATAGAGGGAAACCGTGCCCTATGCTTACGGTCTGCTAAGGAACAATCGTCAGATTCGTTACCGAGTCTTTAATACAGGTAAAGTGCCTGATAGCATTCTACAGCGTCTCACATAAGATGAAAGAAGCTCTATAAGTTTTGTCTTTGACCTCACGAAGTTAAACATAGCTCAAGGCCCGAAACTGAACTCCAACAAGACCAAATGCGAGTACAAAAGATAATCCTAAGGGGAAGAGTTGGCTAATCAAACAACTACAATGATGTTCAGGTCCATTTCTTCATTGTTGACTGATTATCGAAGGGCACGCGAAGAGATCCACTGCTTCAACGAGTTTGCCAACAGGGCGAAAAATGAAGGAAACAAGAAAGTCCATACGCTGGAGGACAGACAGGTCAAAAAGCAGAAGCAGAACCCAACGAAGCAGCCAAAGGTGAAACCACTGGACCAGGTCGAAAATAAGGTCGAGGCAATCTTTGAAACCTCGAATGAAAAGGCGGTCCTGGCAGAGTCCACAGAAAGCAAATATGAGACGCATCAATCAAGCGCCGAAGGAGGTGCAGTATCAACTGCGCTGACAATGCAAATCCGGCGACTTTGTGTCTGAAACGATGAAAGAACGACACTCGATAGTTTCTACAAAACTGGAAGTCAAGGGAAGTGAACAGAGGCGACAACGAAAGGACGAGAAAGACGAAACCAAAACAATGAGAGAGATACGAAACTCTTTGAATATTAGCGCAAGACCGCCGCCGAACAGCCTTATAAGGAACAGGACTCTTTCGACACGTCGCACGAGGTCGAGTTATTACGGGAGATCAAAGATACGTGCATTCAAGATGAGTTCAACATCCTCGCCAACTCTTTCGGTCAACAGAAGCTCGCCATAAAACCATTTAGTCGCTTCGTTGAAGAAGAAAAGGCCTTGGTTTTGAGATCAGATATACGAAGGATATCGGACATTCCGAACCAAGTCTCATTGCGCCGTGCACATTAGAGACACATTGCCTGTGTCAAGCGATCGGATAAGAACGCAGAGAGAGTATATCGTCATGTAAGAGACACAGATCCCTGCTAATTGTTCAAATGATTACGTACCTCCATATGCTAGGTGTTCTTTCTAGCACGAGGATCTCTGAGACCTTGAACAACAAGAGGCAAATGTTCTCCTCAATACGTGTGTTTCGGGAATCACCATCACCGAGTTCACTGCTGTGACCATCATTTTCCTTTCAGCTTCGTTTATGGCTGTTTTCCTTATTCTTCCTATTTCGTAATTCCCCCCATTGACTACGACAAGATGGAGCTTAACTCCGCTCTCAGGAGTTTGATCGGGAGATTGTGGGAAAGGGGAGCGAGACCTGGAGTCTTGCCGCGGGGTCATGAAATGAGCCGCGCGAGCTCACGTTAAGTGCTTACTGGACGATCGAGACTCGCTCATCGGTGCAACAACCTGATTACAAAAATGACCTCGCGGGTTTGGTGAAGCTCTCGTCTGTGGTTCGCATCTACTGCTGGAGGCCTAACAGTGTTGAACATGCATGCATGATGCCCTCTGGAAACTTCCTTCATGAGAACCAAAAAGCAGCTGACATATGCAACTGGAAGCCAATCGAGGCTTTCTTCTAGCCTTTACAACCCCTCGCTGTGAGGATGCCCTCCAGTGACATATTGGGAATTTGCCTATTAAACTGTCATTTCACAAGCACAATCTCTTACTTGGGCCCTCCTCACCGCTCCTGAATTTTCTTCCCTGCATCAATGCGTTTCCTGCCCTTGTCTTTGAAGAAGTGAAGGGGCCAATGCTATCCAATATGGATACAACTCAACTCCAACAACCCCACCATCGCTTGCCCGTCTTCTCCAATTGACGTGCCCGTTCTCACGACTTCCCCTGTTCCTCGGGTCAGATCGGCGTGTTGGCCCCCTTTCATGGTCTAATTGGTGCAACCGTGCCTTGGAAATTTGTCGGTTTTCGGGTCAATGAGGGCGAGGGGTGTAAATCTGCTACCAAATCCCCCAGCCAGCTCGGATTCCCTCGAGTGTCAACCAAAGCTAGCGCGCCATTCCCCAGATTTCACCCCGCCCCCATGATCCGAGTGTGGGACGGTGGAGGATCTTTGCGGGGATAAGTGCGGAAATCGAGGATAAACCTCGCCTCTCATGGAGACTTTCTCTTGTTCCCTCCCTCTTATGTAGTGTACAACAACTATGAGCTGCATAGTTTGGTAGCACCGCCGCCGCTTTCTCAAACTCTGTCAGCTTGACTGCGATCTTTATGCTCATTCGCCCGGTCTAAGCGGCGCAACCTTCTTTCAACTACAAACGAGAGTTGAACTAAGATTCCGAAGGGTCATCGGTTAGCGAAGATGGGTGGACTTCGCGCGGTCGAGGATCGACCAACGCCGAAAGAGGTGTACAATTGGCGTCTCTATACAGAGTCTTTCATCATTGCGATGGGCTCTTTGCTGTCCGTCCCTGCTTCATTCTTCAGTCTGACTCTGGGCCCCTTAGAGAATGTGCTAATTCGGCTTGGACAGCTTCGGGTATGACTCCGCTTTCATTGGAACAACCATTGCGCGCAAGAGCTTCGTCAATGATTTTGGTATCACACCGGCCACATCCAAGGAGATATCATCCAACATTACTTCAGCCTTCCAAGCCGGCGCATTGGGCGGCGCTCTTATGTGTTTCTTTAGTATGACGCCATAACCCTCGCAAACCTACCGCCGAAGCTAATGACCGTCATCCATAGTCACAGAGTATGTTGGCCGTAAGTGGGCGCTCATCATTAGTAACATTGTCTTTCTCGCTGGAGCTATCCCAATGGTTGCCGCCACGAACGACCTCGCCTCGATGTATGCTGGCAGGGCACTTACCGGCTGGGGCTGTGGTGTGATCACGGCCACGGTACCCTCATACATCGCCGAGCTGTCAGTCCCTTCAATTCGAGGCATTCTCACAGGTCTTTTTGAGGTTACGTACCAGACAGGATCTTTGATTGGCTTCTGGATCAACTACGGCATCAATCAGAATATGAACCCCACGAGCTCAGCATCGTGGCGCGTGCCTATGGCGGTCCAGCTCATCCCCTCTGGAGCTTTATTGATCGGCGGATTTCTGCTTCATGAGTCGCCTTTGTGGCTTTACCGCAAGGGGCGCGAAGAGGAGGCGAATAAGAACCTTGTTGCTTTACGACACTTACCGATCGACCATCAATACCTGCGAGAGGAAGTAGAGATGATCCGTGCTAGGCTTGCTGAGGAGGCCTCGGTTGCGGCGACGTATGGCGGAGGGTTCTATGCCTACATCCGAGGATCGCTGCACGAACTCTCACGAAAAGGAATGTGGAACCGGTTGCTCCTGGTCTTCTGCTCATTTGCTTTGCAGAACATGTCCGGTGCCGCGGGTGAGTTTATTGCTATCATCTGATTTGATACACTGCTAACGCGCTACAGCCATCAACTACTACTCTCCCATGCTCTTTGGCTCCATCGGCATCAGTGATGTGGCCCTCTACACGGGTATCTACGGTCTTGTCAAGGCCGTCGCTTCCATCATCTTTTACGGTGCACTTATCGATATTTGGGGCAGACGAAGACCGACGATCATTTCATCTTTGGCTTGCTCTCTCTGCTTATGGTTCGTAGGTGCCTATGTCAAGGTCGGCAATCCGGCACCAATCATTGCCGCTGGAGGAGAGCTTTCTGCCTCGACAGAAGCTGGTGGCCGCGCCGCAACCGCCGCCATTATGATTTACTCAGTATTGTGAGTTCCTTATCTGCAAATGAGATAGAACAGTCATACTAACTAGTGCAGCTGGTCGTTCGGTCTAAATGGTATCCCATGGATCGTCTCCGCTGAGATCTTTCCCGGTGCTCTCCGCAATTTGACCGGAACCTTTGCCGCTTTCACCCAGTGGCTGATCCAATTCATTATCACAAAAGCTCTTCCTTACATTTTCAGTAGTCTTGACTACGGTGTTTGGTTCTTTTTCGCATGCTGGATGCTCACAGCTACTATTTGGGCGTTCTTCTTCCTGCCTGAAACCAAGGGTGTCACAATCGACCAAATGGATGTTCTATTGTATGTTCATCAAAAAAAAACTCCTCATCTCAGCCTGTTCCGACACTGACAAATCTTCTTAGCGGCTACGAAGGTGACCGTCGCGCTCAAGCCCCGGTTTTGAAATCCGATGATGCGAAGAGCGTAGAACAAGATGTAAGAGAAGTTGATGAGGCGGGTAGAGCATGATACTTGGTTAGAAGCCCTGAGGTCTCGATGATGATGCTGACCGGGATTGGCAGTGAAGCACTTGTGGTAGTCATGAAAGGCGCCTACAGAGATTATGCTTAGTATTCAATGTAATATTTGGATTAGTCTAATGAAAAAGGCTACGTTGCTGTCACCATTCTTGACAGATCACTCAGCTCAGAGGCTCATGGCCCTACTGACTTACACCATTTCAAGCAAAAAAGAACATAGCCACGTCTTACATGCTGTGATAGCGTATCAGATATTAAGGTTTGAAAGATTTGCTGGCTTTCTGCTATAACAACCACCAACACTTCCTGATCATGCTAAGTTACGTCGGCCTTGCTTAGCCGATTCTCAGTGGAGACAAAGCCAGAAAACGAGGGTAGGCGGGTTACATGAGACTCTATCGTAAATGTATGTGTAACAGAAATCCCTCCCGCAAGCGAGAGAGGACTGTCACGATCAGGTGCTTGGGCTTCTACGTGGGCCGAGATCTGCGCCTGGTCACTTTTCCGCCGCAAGGTCTCCAGGCCCTCCATTTCCCAGCTAAGGATATCATCCGCATCGCTGTTGTCTGTCATTTGTTTGAACCCATCGCTTCGACTAAGAGTCGTGCGCGCATCAGAACGGTTGCGCGTGGTTGCAGGGCCTCTTAACGTTCTTATTGTCCTTATAGGCCCCGTCGCAACAGTCCTCCCGTTGCCCCGGATTGATAGATTGAGCCACCGAGCTATCGTGCGATCGAATATGGGTCGAAGAATGGGATGACTGCAATGCCATTCTGTAGTACGGCACTATAAGGTGCAGAAGCGAAACTCTTCGTGATGTTCCCGTAGTCGACGGTAAGCGTATGATATAAACGGACACCGGAGAACAGGATGGTGCTGTGTTTGGTCCTTGCATCAGTATCTTTGTTCTCGGAGAAGAGCCTTAAATAACATTGACTTGAAATCTCGACAGAGTATTACTCACATGATACCCGCACCAAATATGACGTAGAGGGCGATTTTATGTGGTTTCGACATTTGCAAGGTGCTGACAACTTTCATTGGAAGAACAACAATGATGATATCGGTGATTATGTCGAAGATAGGTACCAGACTAAATAGTAACTTGCTACCTTGGTTGCCTGGTTTTGTCTTTGCAATTATCAGTCCAATGAGGCCTGTGTAAAGGCCCCATACGATGTAGAGCCCTATTGCGACCCAGCACCAAATCCGAAACCAGCGACCGAAATCCGAGAATATGCGTTGAGTCAACAAAATGATGCTCATTTTGATGGCTAGTAATCCGCCGGCGTATGTGACTTGTGCAGCCAGGAATGTCTTGTAAAAGCAATTTACGTGGATGTTGTGTTCAAGATCGAAAATATTGTGTCCTGCACCTCCTAGAACGACCGCTAAGTGAAGATTGTCTGTCAGTAACGCCATCGTCTTGTGATACCTTGATAAGTAGTTCTTGGTCTAGTAAATGATTTACAGAGAATGCAAGAGGTCGCGGCACCGTAGAAAAAAATCTGGAAGAGCCGCGAATGAGTCTGGTCAATTGTGGACCAGCAAAGACCCAAATTTTCGAAGCAGCTTACCTGGCCAAGCACGTAGAAATAATCCTCAACAAGGTAGGTCGCGCCAACGATGTATTTCGACATAATGCGCATGGTGGTCCAAACAGTTGTGAGCGCCATCATGATGCAAGATACAATGACAAGGTTTCGTCCATCAAGGGTCATTGGCGGATAAGGAGTTGGGGCTTTGCGTGCAAGGACAGCATGGTCGTGCCTTTGGTCGAAAAGAAGTAACACGACTGCGGCCATGGTCGTGTTCGAAATTGATGCTCCTTGAATGGAATCGTCACGGGAGCTTCGATCTGTTGTTATAAAACACAATCCTCAAATGTGCCACATCTAGCGAGAAGCTACAATGAGTCGAATTATATCGTCGACTTTCGCGGCGTGTCTTGCAATACGACTTGACTACCGATCAATTGATTCGGACTGGGGGGTTTGAATAAATCGTCACTGCTTCTGAAATGTTGTGAACCTTCAAGCATTAACATGCATGGTATTTAGGAATCCTGATTGCTTCCTTCAAGTCCCCTGTCCGCCTTTTAGACGTGCAACGATCACACTACATCTAGTGAAGGAAAGGGGCCAGCTGAGCAACGAAAAGGCGGAAAGAGAGCCAATACTTCTGTCACACCTGTCAGCACAATCTACAAGGTATGTCATCCCAAAGTCGTCGAGAACAATAGGAAACTTGAATTGAGCTGTTGGTTCGCATGGCTTGTGAACCAATCACGACAGAGGGCGATTGAGGCAAACAATTAACCTATTTGGAGCTCCACCCTACACACGCATTTGGGCAAACTTCTGCTTGGGGGGTCAGATCATCAGGCGTCTTGAGTAACGGTTCTCTGGGCGCAGGTGTAAGGAACTGCTGAGCAAGCGCGCGCGGCAACGACTTGGCAAGCAAACAATGCCAAGTCCTGGACCAAGGATATGAACAACTATCGGCAACGCCGAGTCTACCAATAGCAGAGCTTCTCACAAGACAAGAACGCTATGTGAAAGCCACTTTACTCTGGTCAAATAATCTTCTTCGAGATGCCACTTACGAGCGGTTTTTGAGAGGGTTGATAAACCACTAATAATGGTTTGATATGGGTAGAAATGCGACGTTTTCTCAAGTAATATAACTTCACCATTTTCATTCACTTTCAAGCAGAAGTTGAAAAGCTCCGAGACAGCGGAGGAACTTGAGCTCTATTCGAGGATTCGAGAGCCTCCATGGCTCGTCATAGCAGCCTTTCTGGAAATGGATTACTTCGTTGCTGGACTGTAAATTACGGACAAAAACTTTGGATGGCGCCTAGGCGCCTGTTTGGATCCATTTATCTTTGAGAAAGGTTCGCCAGTGATGAACATGAAAACACAAAAACAATGAAACTTCCCCCCGAGAGTTTGTGAGGTCACTGGAGTCTATACAGATGCCAGAGACATCATCGAAACCCCCGTCTCAAACCTTTCCCCCTACACCATGTTATATTAGTTTCAACCGCCCCCCACGTTTGCCCTTGCCCGATGGTTCTTTCTGCAGCCTCTTCAGCTCGTTCACCATCCAACAGTATTCTCCGAAGCAACCTCCATTGCCGTGCCACGCATGCTACGCCCGCCGGGCCGCAGTACTAGCCTAGTCTTCGGATCAATCACCAAACACAATTGGTAGACCCTTGTTACTTACATACCTCGTATCTGACTGAACTCCACGTTTGTCTGCATTTGGAATTGGCATCAACGATCGTAGTGGCTAGATGAGAAGCACGTGCACAGAACAGAAAGTTTCACCAGTTTACCGCCGGCAACAACATAGGGTGATATGAGTCCTCTGCTCAGTTATAAAGATATTATGTTCCTGTGCTCAGATTTTCTTTCCCGGCTCACAAGTAATCGTACCGGCGACATCAGCTCTGTGTATAACCTCAATTGCTTTTTCAACGTAATGATATCAAGCAACATGGTCTGCGGGCCACAGAAAACTGACTCAGCCGATATATCGTTCAAGGATCAATTTAGCTCGCAAGTCTCACCTCCAACTCTTATTCAATTCAGCCAAGCTTGCGTACAGATTATACCAGCACATGGGTGTTGCAAATACATGCATGCTGAGATTCATTGACTACCTAATATGATCCAGAACATATCGCGTAAATAGTTGGGGATATCCTCTCATTCTGCCTTCTGGGACCTGCTAGCTAACACTGTCTCTTCCCACGCTATGCCTTTCCACAGCTACGGTTCGCGTAATAGCGATTCCAGTACTGTCTGGAGTCGGAGATCTGGGACTCTCAGGCTGCGAGACTGTTCCAGCAGAGATTTGAGCCTGTGTCATTCTTCCAGTCCTACGATTTGCCCTGCTGCCTAACCCCTGCATCTCCCAACTTAGATTCTCGTCACTATCGGGCATTTGCTTGAAGCCATCACCGCGAAGATGGCTTCCAAGCTGATTAGACTTACTGCTCTTGACGATATGTCCTTGCGATCCCGTAGGGGCAGTGTTTTGTGTGTGCCCACTACTGCGAATCGACAAACTCAACCAGCGCACGATAGTTCTGTCAAATACTGGGCGCAACATAGGGCTGGAAGCTACCATGACAGCAATGCCTGACTGGAGTACTCCACTTATTGACGCAGAAGCAAAGCCTCGAGTGATGTTGACGAAGTCTGCAGTAAGGGTGTAGTATAGGCGGACGCCCGAAAAGATGATCGTGCTTCAAGCCGAGCTCAGGTTAGTAAATGATAATTTCCGGGACTCGTATGAGGAGTTCAAATGATCCGAGTTGAGCCAGTAGGTTCAACGCGCTCTAATCATCATGCTCAAAACTCGAGGTGTCTACTCACATAAACCCTGCGCCGAATACCACACAAAGAGCAACCTTGTGGACTCTGGCCATTTGCAAACCACTGACAACCTTAATGGGAAGCACCACAATGACTATGTCGGTGATGATATCGAAGATGGCAACTGCGCTGAACGCCACGTTGTAGTCTCCGCAGCCAGTCTTCGTGACAGTTATGTCCCAAGCACTCTGAATTGGCTGACAGATGACAAAGCCAAGAAGAGCCGTGTATAGCGCCCAGATACATGACAGCCCAACGGCAACCCAGCTTGTTGCACGGAACCATGAGCTGCTCTGCGAAAATATGCGCTGCATTAAGGTTATGATGCTGAGCTTGATCAACAAGAGCTCGCTGGCGTACGTAACCTGTGCTGCCAGGAAGATTTTGACGAAGTGCGAGATGTGAAGATTTGGGTCCAGGACGCCAACGTCATGGCCAGCGCCGCCGAGAACAACTCCTAATCAGAAACGCATTAGCTGCTTCATCCTTCGAGTTGAATGACGGAATGAGCATCCCTACCTAAGATGAAGCACGTTGCAACGCCGTAATAGAGAAGCTGTAGGGTGAGTGCTTGCCCAAATATACGATTTTCTTTGCCAAT